ATTAAATAAATACTTTTCTTGGGAATTGTGAATAAGATTGTAAATGAATTAGGACCTACAAACCTGACCTGACCTTATCCATTTTAAAAATAATATAGACTAACTTATTAAAAAATCTCTTTACAAATCAAGTTACAGACCTATTTTAAAGAATTTGGCTTCTAAATCTCCGAGGCTCAGCCCTATATATTTTAATAAATAATATTTGAAAAAAAGTGTATATTCTTTTAAAGGACATAAATTTAAGTACTTTTAAGATATAGATAGATATAAAAAAGTATGGATCCCATTGCAAAAAATAAATATACGGATCACATCTCTTTGTATCTATCTCTTTCTTAAAAGGATCAAAATTTATTCCTTTAAAAAGATATATATATTTTTCATAATATTTTATTATTTTTTAATAAAATAATATTTTATGGTTTCCGGCAATGTAATTAAATTGTTAATATATTGGGTTGTAGTGCGGCTTTAATTATTATATTATTTTTTTGTTAACTTAAATATACAAAAATAAAATAAAATAATCATAATCTATAATTTTTAAAGTGTGATATGTCATTTTTGAAGATTTGGTAGACTTAATAGGTTAAGGTAAGCCTTGTATTTTTTAAAAGCAAGACAGATAACCTATAATTTGATTTGTATCAGATTAACAAATCAAGTCAGGTTTGAAATGTTTTACATAAATCTAGCCATTTGAATTATAGTTTGACTTGACCTGACTTATTCACACCCCTAAGCACCTCATATTTGTGGAAAAAAATGTTCTCTATATTTTCATTAATTTTATATAAAACTATAGACTTAGGGCATGTTTGAAATCTGTTTCAGAAAATAATTTATTGATTTTCAGAAAATAAAATAGAATAAATTATTTGTTAAGGCTTGTTTTGTAAAAAAAAAAAAAAATTTAAAAATGTAACTATTTTTTGATTTTTGAATCAAATTTAGAGAACATATTTGAGTTATTTTTGTTTTGACTTTTAACTTTAAAAAAAATGGAAAACACTTATTTTTATTAACTATTCTACAAAATAATTTTAAGAAAAAAAAAATCAGAACACAATCAAACATACCCTTAATATTGATTACACTTACTTCTTTTATATAATATTATTAAATAAAAAATTTATTGGATTCAATTGTTTTTTTTCAAGTGATTTATCTACTTTTAATATTAATTTGAATATATTATTTTTATTACTTCTTTACCAAATACGCGGATTAAATGTTTCAAGTTAATAAACATTATAAGTTCAAGTCCAGAATATATAAATGTGATTAAAGAGAATCACTGTTGTAATGCTGCTCGACTCAAATATAATTAATAAGATAATCGAAAGAAAAAAAAAAGGTTATCACTTGTCCTTGAATGTAAGTATATCTTACTTTTTTTTTTCTTTTAATTTAAAGATGTGTGTAATCAACATATGTAAGACATGCATGTAATCAATATATGTAAGATATACGTTATTTTGGAATTTGGGTTGCTCTGGAGAAATATTTGTTAATTGAAGAACTACATACGATAAAGTGGTCTGACATTATATTTTAATCTTAAGACGTCAAGTTAATGAGTCTTTTTTACTTATATATTTGTTTGTTTAGTTACGGAATTTTATCACTCATATTAAAAAATTTCAATTTCAACATCTGATAAAAAAATTCGCTTTGTTCAAACATATTTTTTACTTGTTATTTCCTATTATAAAAGAAAACAATAAAAGTATAAAATGTATAGGATAGTGGGAAAAAAATTATAATAAGCATACTCACTAAAAGTAACTAATTAAGAGACAAGTAAACTTAAAGTATTAAGATAATGATAGGGATTTAAGCCTGCAAAAAAGACAAAATTTTATTATTGTGAACGATAATTAACAGCCCCAAATTCTAAAATTTTAAAAAAAGAAAAGAAAAGAAAATTAAAAAAAAAAAATCGTAAGTCCAGGAATAAATAGTAAGCACAGTGACAAAGTTCATTAATCATGTCACAGCATATTAAAATCATATCAGTCCACTATATGAAAAAATAAATTATAAATTTCACCTTAATACAATCCCATCACATAAGAAACAAAGCCTAAGATTGAATTATCTCTAGGCCCACCCAGGTGTTTGTTAATGTTTCAACATCAGTAGTGAAATTCTGGATATAGTGGTTGAGTAAAATATATATTTAAACTCATAAAAATCTAAATTATGCATCAGCTTTAAAATATGATTCAATATATGATTAATCAGTTATGATGTAAGTTATGATGCATCGACACTTCAAAAACTCTAATGTGTCGTGTTCGACATTTTGACACACCCTGACACTCCAATATATGCATTGTAGATACTCAAAAAAGAGTTCAAAGTTTGTGTCGTATTGTGTTTTTAGTTCATACTATTAGATTTGTTGAATTACGATTATTATTTTATTGAGTGTAATATAAATATTTGGAATATCTTATATTTATTTGATAAATTAATAGGTATTATAAGTTTGACTTTATTTTTTTGTTAAATTATTGAATATTAAACATAATATATAGTATATAAATTAAAAAATTATTTAATATCAAAACATATCCTAACTTGTCGTACTATTTTTTAGAATTAATATATCAAAATATCGTATTATATCGTATCTCATGTCCTGTATCAATATCGATGCAGCAACTTAGGATATAAGTAACTAGTAGTTACATATTCACGTGAGTTTCGGATGGTAAATGGATTGAAATGAAGTAAGTCATTTATTACATTTGTTATTTCTTTTAGATAGTGAATTTTTTTTACTCTCATCCGTGATTTTTTTTTTCTTATCCGATGTTGTTTTCTACGTTAAATATTATGTATCATTCGTATTTTGATTCTTAACTTTATTTTAACAGAAAAATATTTCTACATTTATTGCAGACAAGTTATCTGCATTTTCTCCCAAAACGATGTTGTTTTAGAATTGAAAAATTAAAAGAATATAATTATAAAGACTATAATAACCCTGAAATAAATTAAAATTAAAAAATACCTTGATTTTCACTCCAAAATGACGCCGTATTGAATTTACTGCAGATAATTTATCTGCAGTGACTGCAGAAAAAACGAACCTTTATTTTAGATATGTGATACTATTTCCATGACTCTAAATACTAACATTTAAAAGTATAAAAAATCTCGTAAGACTAAGAAAAAAAAGTAATTAAGCATAATGACAAAGTTCATTAATCGCGTGACAACAGAATAAAATCATTTGAGTATACAATATGAAAGTTATTTTATTTTATTTTACAAATTCACCTTAATACAATCCCACTACACAAGAAACAAAGATTCAATTATCTCTAGGCCCACAGATGTATTTGTTAACATTTCAACATCAATTGTGAAATGTTTGGATACATATTACATAGTGGTTGAATTAAATACATCGATCAAGTTAATAGTTGCATTAACTCGAAGCATATATGCAAAATGAATGTACGTAGTAGTAAAAAATTATATATTTATGAGTGAGAATTCCTATTCATTGGAGTGTAAAACTCATCATTGTACAGCTAGTTTGTGATAACTTGTGTCATTTAAAGATTCTTACAATAAAGTCTTACAATAGAAAAAGACTTTAAAGTAGCTTCATTTAAGTAAAACGTATAAAAAATGAGATATACAATGTGAGGATGAAGATTTGGACATTTAGTAATATTTATTATTAACTATTTTTACATTCACATCTAAATAGAAAAGAAAAGAAAATAGAAAGAAAGAAAAACTCAACATTTTACTCTAAAAGCTCAGCCCTCATTATCATTGACCAGCATAGAAACTAGAAATGCACATTCATATTTTTCCATATATGGTTTATATATCAATATAAAGACAATATGGTGAAGTTAATGAATCAATGGTGTTACATATTGGCTAAGTTTTCTATAGATAAAATTGGAAAAAGGATTTGATCTTTCATCCCAAAGGGATAGGAATTAATGGGGTTGAAGGGCTTGCTTGCCCCGTGGAGGAAATTAAGAAGGAAAATGCAAAAAAGATCATTTTCTTCTATTTTTATACTAAGTTACCAAGCATCCCACGGTTCTCTCTTTTCCTTTATTGCCAACTCAAACCTTTTTTTTTTTTTTTTTTGCTTTTTCTAAATTCTCACTCATGTCATCTTTCAGCCACAAAAGGCAAACACTTGGGGTGATTATTAAAGTACCCAAAATATCCCTATCTTCGCTGCAAATTACAAATGAAACCAAGTGCGTTACAAAAGTAAGAAGCGTATGAGTTATGACCCTAAGAAATGTGGGGTTCCCAAACAAACATTCCATATTTTCCGGTCACAAAAAACCAAAGATTATGACTGTACTTTCAGTTTCACCTAGAGGAGTGTGAGCATGAGGTGAGGTACCATTATTTTCGTGCTTGTTTTGCTCTGTTGATGCCACATGGTTTTAGACATTTTCATGTAATAAGTATGCCTCAGTTAGAAACTACTGGAATCACAATGCAACTATCATCCCCATTTCCATTTGGGTCCCTGTACAGATAATGTTATTCATATTTATTTATCATTTTTTTACATTTATTAAATTTTATATGCTAAGCATGAATTGATCCTAAGCAATAGCTAACCTTCACACCCATGTAACATTATTTGCCTTATGATAGTTGGGCCCCATTAATGACATATTTTGACCGGTCGTTTTGATGAAAATTTTCCAAAGTGAAAAAAAAAATAAAAAAATGATGGAGCAAAAAGGGTAGTTGTGTCAGTCTTGAAATTTGGGGTAACATGAAGGGTAGTCATATGAAGTTGTCATATTCTCATATTGTTCCTCCTTTATTAGCTGCCCAACTCAAAACCTAAGCTTTTAATTTTGTCTTTTTTTTATATTAATATTTATTTAATGTATGCTGTTTTTCTTCATCCTAGTGTTTTGACCGTTGCTTTTTTTCTCAACGTCTTTTTCTCTATTCACACAGAGACACACACACACACATTGCTCTCTCACTGATTCCCTCTCCACTCTCCATGATCAAAAGCACCGTCTTGTTCCTGCACTCGGTTGTCAGGTATGGTTCTCCATTCCAAGCTTCACTCTTCATGGTTATTCTTAAACAACCCAAACATCTACATGTGCTTATCATTTTTTTTCTCTCTCTCTCTTTCTGCATTTTCTGCTTCTTTTTCTCCTGCTACCAACAATCTATATGCTTTGTTTATGCTCTTAAAAGCAAGAAATGGAGTAAGGGTATGTTGGAAATTTTTGTCTTCATGAAAATGGGTACTCTGTTTTTATATTTATCAGCTCTTTCATGCTGCTTTTTAAAAATAAAAAATAAAAAAATAAAAAAATCATTTTTCCCTTTGATTTTTTTGTTTTGAATTTTACAGCCTTTCTTTTTCTGTAATTTCTTCTGAATTTCCATAAATTTATATTTATCTGTTTTACATATTCATGCCACCTGATATTTCTTCACAATATATATATATATATATATATATATATATATATATATATATATATATAAAGAAAAATTCCCAGATGAAAAGTTTTGTGCTTTCTTCATGTATTCTGGAAGAGCATAGTTTGGATTTCTGGAAATCATGTAGGAGAGGCTTTCAAAAATCTCCGTTACTTTCTTCTGTTAAGGATGTCTGAATTTTCATTATCCTTCTTCTGGATTGACATTAAAGAAAAGTATTCAACTTCATTAACATTGCTAGGCTTATTTGGTACAATTACAAAATTGAATTTATTATTATTATTATTTTGATCTACTCATGTTTGATGGAATTTTAGTATATGATGAACTTCTTTGCTTTTTATGACAGGTTCATGATTTCTTGATGAGTCTGGTGAGATATAAAGAAAGATTCTCCATTGATTTCCATTTCAATGCAAGCCTGAGATAGTCATAAGGGAATAAGAGATGGGATGTGCTCAATCAAGGGTAGATGATGAAGAGGCAGTTCAGCTTTGCAAAGATAGGAAGAGGTTCATCAAGCAAGCTATGGAGCAAAGAACTCGATTTGCCACTGGACACATAGCCTATATAGAATCTCTGAAAAGAGTTTCAGCAGCACTTCGTGATTACATTGAAGGAGATGAGCCTCGTGAGTTCTTAGTAGATTCAGTCATCACCCCACCACCTATCACAACTGTGAAGAAAACTAGGCCAGGTTTCATTCCCATATCATCAAAACCTTTAACACCAACAACAATTGAGTTTGAAGTTGGACCAAATTCTACTTTGAAAGTGAATTACCTAAGGCCAGGTGGTAATCCAGCAATTTCAGTTGAGGAAAGGCCTCAATCTCCAGAAATGGTCCGGGTTGAAACTTATTCTCCAATGCAGCATTATGGCAATGATGGTTTTTTCCCTATGCAATACTCACCTCCTATGAATCCATCAATTTTTGCTTACTCTCCCATTAGTAGGCCTATTATCCCTCCCCCTTCACCTCAAACTTCCCAATGGGATTTCTTTTGGAACCCGTTTTCGTCATTGGATTACAATGGTTATCTTACCCGAAGTAGCCTTGATCGAACTGTCATGGATGATGAATATAGAGGACTGAGGCAGGTTCGTGAAGACGAGGGAATACCAGACCTGGAAGAAGATGAAACTGAACAAGAAGATCATTTTGGAAAGAGAAATGTTGCAGAAGAAAGAACCAGAACTGATATAAATTCCTCCAAAGAAGAAGTGATTGTTGAAGATGTTGATGATGATGATGATGATGATGATGACGACGATGATGAGGAGGAGGAGGAGGAAGAGGAGGGAACAGACACTGAAATTGAAGCTGAGCATGATGCCAAAGACTCACAAGCCAATACTAGAGTAAATGTTGAAGTATCAAAAGCTCAAAGTGCAGGTCATATTGAATCCTTCCATCGGGAAATGGCAATTGGTAATCAAGAAGCTAAGGAGGAAACACCAGGTTTTACTGTTTATGTAAACCGAAGACCAACAAGCATGGCCGAAGTGATCACTGATCTTGAAGCTCAATTCACAATCGTGTGCAATGCAGCCAATGATGTCTCAGCATTGTTAGAGGCCAAGAAAGCTCAGTATTTATTGACATCTAATGAACTGTCAGGTTTGATTAAAATATACAATTTATTTTTTCATTTTGTTGTAAGTGTACTTTAATGTTCATGCGTTCCATATTAGTCAGAATTATGAGTTAACTCCTTATGAATGGAAAAAGAATGAATTAGCAGCCTCAAGTTTGATAATAAACAACATTCTACAATATTTTATTTATGGAGTAGATCACACTATAGAAATTGTGCTTGTATTATATCCAGAAATAGTCTTTCTGGTTCCCAATTCCTCATTTGATTCTAGTAAATCTTTTTTCTTTCACTCATATCTATCTGTAAATTTTCAGGAATATAAATTTGAATTATATTTCTTTTGCAGCATCTAAGTTGTTGAACCCAGTAGCTTTGTTCCGCTCAGCTTCTTCACGATCTTCTTCTTCAAGATTCTTAATGAATTCAAGCACTAAAGAGGAAGGTAATGAGGGCACTAAGGATCTTTCAGAGGAACGTTGTATGCTTTCTGGTAGTCACCAGACCACATTGGACAAATTAAATGCATGGGAGAAGAAGCTCTATGAAGAAGTCAAGGTATATTACTCAACCTCTACACATTAGGAAGACAAAGCTTTCTAAAAGGATTTCAATAAACTCTCCATTGACATTCTTAGGTATAGATAATTGTGTTAGTAAACTTCAATGTAGACAATCTTTCAGATTCATATATCCTTACTCTTAAGGGATGAATATAATCAATTTTTCACTCTTGTTATGGTATTAAGGGTAATTCTAGAGTTGACAAAATTGCAAAGAGGAAAGACACACGAGAAGGGAGAGAGATGTGAGAATGATTTGAAAAACGTAATTTCTTAATTGATTGCCTTTTCCATACAGCCATTATAACTAGGATTTGGAATACTAAAAAGATAACGACAATAAATGCTAATGCTATGCTATTTGATATCAATCACCCCCAACTGATACAAATCTAATCCTTTTATTAGTGGAAGTTAATAAATGCTAATTGATAACACTTGAAGACCTTGGTGCATAACATATGGCTTCATCAATGGCAAATAAACTGCTTATGGTTATTACTAGAAATCACAAAATAATTTTTCACATTACCTGTGTATGAGTAATCATGAAAGAGCTTCAGCTTCGGAATAATGAGAAAAATTACAATGCCTCGAACTAATACATTAAAAACCTTTCTATTAGATGTTAAACAGGATAAGATAAAATTCACAGCCAGAGGCCAACTTCAACCTTTTAAATGATATTCAGTGATTTTTCTTTTGGTCTCTCACTCTTTTAAATTTTAGATTATCTATTATTATGACAGATCATCATGCTTATGAACACATACAATTTTAATATTGGGAAACTTATTACTGTGTCCACTTTTTTCTTCAACAGTCTGGAGAACGTGTTCGAATTGCGTATGAGAAGAAATGTAAGCAACTCAGGAACCATGATTTTCAAGGAGATGACCCCTCTTATGCCGATAAAACAAGTGCAGCCCTTAGAGATCTAGATACCCAGATAACGGTTTCAATACACTCAGTTGAAGCTATATCCAGGAGAATTGAAACTCTAAGGGATGAAGAGTTGCATCCCCAACTTCTTGAATTGGTGCAAGGGTATGTATGAAAGTCATTTTCCCATGTTTTCTAGATGAACTAAACCTTTGTCTGCCAAAAAACTTCAAACATACTGCTAGCATTTCATTTCATCCTGTAAGGCCCCTTTTCTGAACGCAAACTAATTTTCCTTAAAGAAAGATAGGTCTGCTAGACTTTGTTTGGTACTAATAACAAAACAGATAGTCATTTTGACTTGTATAGTTGAATTGCTGAAATGTTAAATTACTTTCAGCAGTACTGAGTGATAAAATTTTCCTTTGCAAGATGTATGCCATCAAATTGCTGAGTAAAAGCTAGTGGGGCCATCAAATTTACCTAATATCTACCTAACCTTGTCTAGGTTTCTAGGACCTCTAGAAGATTCATTGCCTATTTTGGTGAGAAACTAATAATATAATAAGAATCATGCATTTCTTGCCTTGACGTACTACACATTCAGTTTTATATGATTATTCTTAACTTCTTGATTTTTAATTTGTACATGAGCAACATTGCATGTTCTTAAAGAAAACAGTCTACATCCACCATATCAAATGCAGATATATCACACTTGCTGCACTGCATGTAATCACAAAATATATTATGCTTGCTTGATTCTTCAATTATAAAAATGACAGGCTGGAAAAGATGTGGAAAGTGATGGCAGATTGTCATCAGACACAGAAGAGAACTTTAGATGAAGCTAAGATTCTTCTAGCTGGCACTCCTTCTAAATTACATGCAAGAAAACAGTCTTCCATGTCAATGACTGATCCAATTAGGCTAGCCCGCTCAGCCTCTAATCTCGAGTTCGAGTTAAGGAATTGGAGAAACACCTTTGAGTCATGGATCACTTCTCAAAGATCCTATATTCAAGCATTAACTGGATGGCTTCTCAGATGTATGAGATCTGAGCCTGATGTATCAAAGTTACCATGCTCTCCTCATCGGTCCAGTGGCACTCACCCATTATTTGGACTTTGTGTTCAGTGGTCAAGGCGTCTAGATGCCATACATGAAAAAGCAGTGCTTGATGGCTTAGACTTTTTTGCAGCTGGTATGGGATCAATCTATGCACATCAATTAAGAGAAGATTCTCAGGGAAATTCATTTGGATCAAAACAAACCAATGGGAATATGGAAATGGTGGAAGTTGGTCAAGTGGAAGAGGCAATGGCTCCAGAAAAACTAGCTGAAGTTGCTATTAAGGTACTTTGTGCTGGAATGTCTGTTGCTATCAGCTCACTGGCAAAGTTTGCTTTAGATTCTGCTGAGGGATACAGTGAAGTTATTAAGCAATGGGAGAATGTGAAGTGTCAGCATACTTCTAGTGAGACTAAAACATAGATGTCTCACATTTTGTGGTCTTAGTTATTTAGTTTAGGCTTGTTTAGCAATAGGTTTCTGTCTGTCCATGTAATTATGTATTTAATTAATCATACAAGGTAGAAAAACAAGGGCCATTTTCAGTTTTTCCATTGCAACCGTTATTGTCCAAATGGACATTTTTTTTTTTAGTAACCAGAAGTTTAGGGAAAAGAGAGGATACTGCATTCCAAGGCAGAAAGAATATTAATTGAGTGCGAGTTTTGAATTAATAGTAAGGTTGCTGCTTATGGCCGGAAGGTCATAAATTTGAGTCACAAAAATAATCTCTTTGTAAAAGTACATAGGTAAGGCTACTACTACTACGTACAATGGACCTTCACCCCTAACATTGCTAGTCGGAAGCTGAGAAGGAAAAAAACCCGTTTTAAGAATAAGAGCAGAGCAGTAATTAGCATTGTAATCTAATATCACTTACATTGCAAGTCACCATAAAAAATCTCTTATAATTAAGACCACCCACTATAGTGGTGTTCATTAACTGATTTAAATCGCGGTGACCGAATCAAAAAATCAATAACCGAAAAAATCGAAAATCGAAAAATTGAGAACCGAAAAAAAAATGCAAATTTTAATTAGATTGGATCGGTTTTAGGATGGGATGATGAAAACCGATCCAATCCAAACTGATCCAATACATTAATTTTTCTCTACTTGCCTGAGTCTTTCCTCAATCATAACCCAAAAATTTCTAAATCCCGTACCCATTAACCCATCAATTAAACCCAAGAAAAAACCTAGTCAGATCTCATCAACAAAATTTAATCTGTGTAAAGCTTCATATCTCACTGCCCAAAAAAAAACTATATTATTGTTTACTGATGCTTTTCTATTTCAAAAAAAAATAAAAATTTACAAAGCCTATTATACAAAAGATGTTATTTGCACAATAACCATTAAACAAATTTTAGGATTTTCAAAAAATCGAAAATCGATCCAATCCAAGCCAAAAAAAATTGGATTGGATTGGATCGGATTTGAAAAAAATTCAAACTGAATGGATGATTACATGATCAAATCGAAGGGATTGGATCGGATGATTTTTACTTCCAAAACCAATCCAATCCAGACCGCAAACACCCCTAACCCATGACTAGAGTGATAACACTAAAAGGCTCTGAGATTCATGATGGTTTTGTATGGGTTGGGTTAGGTTTTGTCTCATTTTCTGAAAGCAAATTTCATTCTCGATTTTCCAATAATTTAAAAACATTTTTGTTTTCTATGTTGTTTTCATCATTAGATATACATTTCTTTTTTTTTTTTAGTATATATAAAGAAACAATTCAACTCAAAAGAAAGAAATTTCACTTGAAATCAAGTCTAGTGAGCTCTCGTATGAGGGGGCGTGTTGAAATATATAAAAATCATTAACATAATTTCACCCAATAGCATAAACTGGTAGGTGATGGCCTCTTTAGTGGTTTATATTATACTCTAACAATTCAACCCAAAAGCTCAAGCTGTTAGGTGAGAACCTCTTTAATGGTTGAGAGTAGTGGGCTTGAAGGGCCTCACACGAGAGTAGTGGGCTTGAAGGGTGGATAATGCGCAGACCCACCTACCTGTGCTAAGAAAATTCCACAAGTGAAAGTTAGGGGCGGTGAGGATCGAACCCGGGACACGAGGCTCTGATACCATGTAAAGAACCAATTCAATCTAAAAGCTTAAGCTATTGGGTGAGGTTACGTTAATAGTTTTTATATATTTCAACGGTATGTCATTGCCTCGCCAAATTAAACTCTCTCTTACCCATAGTGGATGGTCACGTAATAAAGGAACACACACACACAAAGAGAAATTAATGATATCAAATTTTAAATATTACACACACACTTAAAGAGAAATTAATGATTTCAACTATTAAATATTACACACACGCACTTAAAGAGAAACTAATGATATCAACTAATAAATATTAAGTATTACTTATCATATGTAAAGAGACAGTTGATGATACTACATATATAAGTTTACATTAGCTATATAATTAAAACCAAGTCAAAAAAACTCCAACTCGAGAACCGATTTAAATAGTTGAAGTTTGTGGAGATATTGGGGGCTGACTCGTCTTAAAGACATAATTAGGATCAATATATATATAAAAAAATCAAAAACATATAAAATAAAATAAAAAGACAAAGTATAAGTTGTTCAATTTTTCATATCATTAAACAAGTAATTTGACATATCAAAATAAGTGAAATTGTTTTTTTCATTTTTAATTCATTTACTCAAAATATAGGTAAGAATTAATATATATATATATATATATATATATATATATATATATATATATATATATAATTAGATATTGCCATCAATAAAGAAAATGAGTCATATAACTATTCTAAATTGGGAGAAGTTATACTTATTAACTTTTTTTTTGTAAGCACTACCTTTTTTTCTTACTAGTTCTTACTATCAAATCTTAACTGTTGATTTCCATCAATCTAACGGTTATAATTTATTGAAAATTAATAATTAATTAATAAATGTAATCCAATAAATTATAACCATTAGATTGACGGAAATCAATGATTAAGATTTGGTAGTAAGAAGTAGTAAGAAAAAAAAGTAATAAGTATAACATTTCCCTTTTAAATTTTGAATATGAATCTACGTATTATAATTTATAAAATTAGAAGCAATTTTCAATTATTATATTTTTACCCTTAAAAACTTTAAATTTGTAGTGAAAATAATCTCTTTAAAATATTTTGATAGTGTATAGTCACGATATTTTGGCCATAACTTGAATTTCATATCATGTATTTGGATGTTATTTGGCTCTATTGAAAGCTAAGAAGACTATTTGCAACTTTCATGAAAGAGATCGAGACTTGATTTTACCTCTATAGGACATTAAATTTCATATCATGTACTACATTGGTACTGTCATGGAATCTTACCTAGTTTTGGGGTTTCGGTCCTATCTGAAGCTATATACATTGGATTTGACCATTCTCTTGTATTTTGCAAAGGTAAGAGTATAACCTAAATCTTTTTGTAAAGAAGTCAAAATTAAATTCAAATACTAGAGTATCTTGAATTGGACATGCAGTTAGTACAATGGGTTCACTTGTAATCCTATGTCATAGTTAAACTCACTTCTTGCCAATTGGACCAGTGATAGCAGAACATAAATTTATAAGTGACATTGAATTAAGATGGTATTCAAAAACAAAATTTATAAAACCATATTAAATATAGGGGGAAAAACAAGTATAATGCTGCAGGAAAACAATACCCATTCCTGTAGACACGAAAACACACATGGGTCTCACTTTTTAGTTTTCTCTCACCACTCTTTTCTCTATCCTCTTTATATTTGTCTACGCGGAAAGTTAAATTTCTCCAATCTAATCCCCATAAATATAATAGATCAAATATTTAAAAATACTAAATAGGCTAACCTCGAAGCTTGTAGGCCAAGTTTTTTAAATACGTATGTGACTTTTTTTATTAAATATGCCTTCTTTTTCTATTTTAGGCTTATTTTATTTTACTATTTAAGCGAAGCTAGCCATACAATGATCAATTTTACACCCCAAACTATATAACGATCTATTTCAAGATAAATATACTAGATATTTACCTATTCCAGACTAAACTATTATTAACAAATCTTATATTCACTTTTTTAATTAATAATTAGAGTCGCTTTTAATGATTCTTTAAGTAGCCCAGAATCCAAGTTGATATGCCTCCAACATATAATATTTTAAAGGCTAAAAAGAGCAAGAATTTAATCTAAATTGAGTTAAAAGAGCTCATAATCATGATAAAGTTTGATAATCCATGCTCAGACTTGCTCTCGTAGAAATTGTGTTTTGTAGGTAAAATTATAAAAAAAAGAAAGCACAATTCAGAAGAGCAAAAACTACATAAAAAGGAAAAGCAAAAGCAAAGTTTCCTATGCCAGTAGTGCAGAAGTGGCACTGTCTGAAGAATCAAAGTGATGATGTGGTTGCCACGTAAACAAAGTTAGTACACTTTATGATTCCACGTCAATATAGTTTTGATGATAACAAACAAACTCAAAGAGGAATGCTCAAGGACAAAGCAACATCCAAAAGCAATTCAAGCATCAAGTCTCAAGCATCATGCCAAGTCCAAATGTCTCACCGGTATATTCATTTAGGACTTAGGAAAAGTTTGTAAAGGTGTATACATTCTAGCATTGCATGAGCTCAAGTGCATTCATATAATTACCTAATCGAAAATTTCTTAACAACCTTAATCTAATAAGTCAAAAGTGCATCAAAAGGTTTTTTAAGTAACTTAAGCACGTAAGCATCATGGCAAAACATAATCACATATATTCATGGCCTTACATCACTCATATATTTTAAAAGAATGCATTTTCAAAGAAATGACAAAATAAATGGTTTGATATGCACAAAATTGGTTTGGAAAGGAACCTACATAATATAAACACTTCTAGACACTTTCCATAACCAATCACATGCTTTTCATGTTGTAAACACCATTTATGAATGAAAAGAAACTCAAAATTCATGCAAAAAGTGATCTGCCATGAAATATCTGGATATTGTACATAGAATATCCGGATATCAATATCCGGATGCAATATCCGGATATCAATATCCGGATATGTGCCCGATAAATATCCGGATATGTACGGATCACAACGGCTATAAACAGCTAGAAACGACTAGTTTTCAAATGAGGTGTCATTATAAATACCCACATCAACAGTAATGAACAGTGGACGACCATAGATCATTTATTGAACCTTTATTACTCATTCTAGCCTATTATTGCTCATTGATTACTTACTTTACTCATTGCATACACTTGAGCTCATCTTTCCTTGAAGCTATACATCTATTAGTTCTTCAATTTGTGGAATCTGTACTTTAAGAGTACTTAGCCACTTTTAATCACCTCAATCTTATTTCTTGATTTGAGAGGGGAGTGAACCCTATACTAGAGAGGTCACCAAATTCCTAAGAAAATTTGGAGTGAACAATTGTGAGGCATCAAGAGCCCGAAGTCTTGAAAGGTTGTAGAGGTTTGTCAAGAACCCTCAAGCTTGATAGT